TTTCTGCAGTTTTACAAATTTTTTTTATGTATTCATCAATGTGTGTTTTATTGCTTTAATTAGAGTGTCAATTACCAAAGGTTCATAAGTCATGCTCTGCTTTCTAAAGATTTTTAAATAAAAGATAACTGACATTTTCCCATATTTGATGTACAAATTAGTCGTGCCTATTTAGAAAGAATTTTTAAAAACTTATATAAAAGGATATCCCTGGCATAAGGTTCTTTCCCATCAAAATCATAAAATGTATAGAATTTAGTCTGAAAGGACGGTATACTCCACCCTGTTGAAACAAGCTCTCTGAGCCATTCACCTGCAGAAGCTCAGCGTGCAAGAGAAGGGTGTAGGCAGCTTCTGTGTAGTTCTCACAGTCTCGGTGCAAATCTCGAAGCTTGTACAGATATCTGGCAAGAAGGGGAGAAAGGAAGCATCTTGTCACTCGAGAGTTTTGTAGGTTTTTTAAGTTTTGTTTTGAGACAGGGTCTTGCTGTGTTGGCCAGGCTGGTGTGTGCAGTGGTCCGATCATGGCTCACTGCAGCCTTGAGCTCCAGGGCTCAAGTGATCCACCCACCTCAGCCTCCTGAGTAGCTGGCATGTGCCACCAAGCCCGGCTAATTTTCATTGTGTTTTGTAGAGACAGGGTTTTTCTATGCTGCCCAGGCTCGAGATGATCTAGTGTTCAACTAATTCCATAACCAGACCCCAGCCTGCTTCCCTGCCTGACTCCCCCTTCCCTACTATTGTACAGAAGCAATTCCTTCCTCTTGAGCCAAGGAGTCGGTTCCTCCTCATTTCTTTAATACACTGTGCACCTTCTGCCTCCGTGTTTCTCCGACTCCATCTAGACCAGTTTCTCTTCTGTCTTTAAGGTAGTGCTGTTTAATGCTTTTAAATTTTAGGTCTTGGACCCCTCTGGGAAGCTAATGAAAGCTATAGAATCTCTCCCCAAGAACATGCATATTGGTTATGTACAAGTTTGTTTCATGTTCAGAGATTCGCTAAGACTCTTGCATGGGTTTTCCTGCCTCTCCCTGTACAGCCTCTCCTGCCCACCCAGGGCAGAAGTTGTCTATCCCTCCCCTGATCCCTGACATGACCTCACATAGGCACTCCTTCCTGTCATACTTATTCATGTATCCATCTAAAGAGTTTGTCAGTTCAGGGTGAGTGGAGCATATCATGTACTTTTAGGGGTCTCTCAAAGCAGCAAACACGGTGTTGGGCATCGTATTTGTTTACTGAAGAAATCAATCACAAAGCCATGAAATAAATAGCAGAAGCAAGAAATTTC